GCTTAAAAGTCTTCTTGGCTCCGCATCCATAACAGAAGATGCTGCGAACTTCAAGACACTCGTCGAACCTATGGCCTATCTTATCGCAGTTCCAACATCTTATCTGATTAGTCTGTAGGGCTGACACATCTTCTAGACCTACGTCCTCAGATTCCTGTTCTAGTTGAGCAATATAAGGTCGTGTTCCAACTTGGTTCTTCCCTTGCTGCGGTCTATTCTGCTTACAAAACTGTTCGTGTGTTCGTATCTCTTCCCTTAAGGTGACTAAGGAATCTATGCGCAAATGCATCAACTCGTACCTCAGCGATGGCTTCGCATGCCGAATCAGCATTTCAACTAACGACTGCTCTGAAAGTCGAGTACTCAAGCGCGAAACCAACTTTTCTATTTGGAATTGGTATTCTTCGAATGGTTCCCTGTCTGCTTGACGCCTACTATTGATAGATTCCCATATGTCCATGTCTGTATCCACATCTCGAAATTTCTGTCTAAATTCCCTGCAAAACTCTGCCCATGTAAAATTCGTACATGCTTGGTGGAATTTCCAATACCACTCATTCGCTTTGCCGGTAAAGAACAGATGTAGGTGATCACAAAGAAGCTGATGATCTGCGTTCAAGTTTTGTTGGGCTAGTGCTTGTACTCTGTACAGAAAATCCTCTGTCTGCAAACCATCTTTGGCTCCATCAAATTTGATGTGCCAACTCTGGATAATACCGGGCACCTTCTCCGGCTGCACCGAAGTGTGCGACCTCTCAGAGTTTCGACTAGATTGTCGATTCCCCTAATCTCTCGTTTTGCTCCCTGTTCGGTAAGTTCAATCCTGACCCTGGCTGAGTTTGACCTACCGCGAAAGCTTGTCCCTGTGTTACATTGTTCATGCTTCTCCTACTCGGGGATTGCGCATTCTGTTCGAGCTGCAAATTCGATATCTGTGATTGTATGAAAAGAGTCAAATCCTGCATAAGCTTCTGTTGCTGAGACTGCATTGCTGCTTGAACTACTCTACCTATTTCTTCGACACTCTCTGCTCTAGATGAATCGAGAATTGATGGTGTATTAGCGCTTCTATCGCGCTGCTGCGCCACGTTACTACGTTGCTGAGTCCTAGTAACCATACCTCTGCGTTGCCCCAAACTTCGACCTCTTCTTGGTTTATTCCTGTTACGGCCTCGGTTTGTGATAAGACTGCTGCTGCCTTCGCCAGCGTCATATTCATTGGGTGCTCTTCCTGACTCGGATCTTTGTTCTGCATCTGCCAATTCGGCTAACAAGTTATTGTTCGATACTGACAACTGCTGCACCGTGCATGGTTGATTGCAAGTCGGACACGAGTTCGTTACTGACAAGTGATCTCTAATACATTGGTGATGAAATCGATGATTACAAGGAGAAGCTGCTGTCAGATCGTTCACGCTTAAAGGTCGTGTGCATAGAATGCAAACACTCTCGTCATTATTAGAAGCGGCTGCTAAATTCTCTAAGCTATGATGAATAGGCATTTTCTTCTTGTGTATCTGTTATTGGTTGCTTAATATTTTCAAATTATGGTCTTTGTTTTTCCAGCTAGTTTCTGTCGAATACCTTCTTGCTGAGCGTTCTCTCCTAACCAACTCTATACCAATATTGTCTATATTGTTGCGGCTTTATAGGTTTGTATTCGCTGTATTGGTCATCCATCGAAGTTCCTCCGACCACTTGATATTCCTACATACGCGTACAGTACCTTTTGCCAGTAGTCTAAACTGTCGCCTTTGGATAGCATTCTGCGCTCGGTTATACTGGCATGACACTGCCGCATTAATTAAAGACTTCATTAAAGATTTGACAGCGCTATAGCGTTTTACACAAGTGCGAGCAAGACGACTATATGGCGCTCTAATGCATTAGAATAATGCATTAGCTACTTCATTGCCGCGATAATCGATAGATCTACATATTATATACTAGATACTCGATAACAAAATACGGGTTTAATGAAGAAAATTGTAATTGAAAAATGTATTAGCCAGCTCATTGACAGTATGGTCTTACAATGAGAAGTTTATTTTTATATAATTTCGCTGGTTTTTGAACTGAAAATATATTAGAAAATTAGCAAAAAATAATATGTTTTGCGGTAGCAAGGTTCTTGCGCTGTAAAATTAATTAAAATTATTTTTTTTGTAATAATTAAAAAAATTTTAAGCATTATAGGTTAAAAACATATATTTAAAGGATTCTGCATCTATTTATGCAATAATACTTCGACGAGGAATTCAGAAATTCATAATAATACGCCGCGAATGGCGGCCGTTTTTTTTGTTTACCTTTTACGGTCGGTGTGACCGTAGTCGTATTACCAAAATAATCCAGGAAAATGACACATATAGTGGACTCTTTCAAGGTTCTAATGAAGTAGCTAATAATTGAAAACTGCATTAGTGTATCATATGGGCATTAGTACTGGTCGATAGTACCACGAAGTTTTGATAACATATGGCTATTCCAAGCTACTAATTCCGAATTCGCTTCCCTCTACCTATCGAACGGGAGTTTGATCCACCTAACTAATTTCAGGCTCGAGTTTTTGCGCCTGTGAGTGGGTTCGTTGCGGTCGACTTGATCCGTAAGATCTCGAATCGAAGACGCAATTCCGGCTAAGAAGTCCTCAACTCGCAACTAGCAAATCTCTAGTATGAAATAGTAACAATTTCTGCTGATTAAATTAATTACAAAAAATTCTTTTGGATGGATAGTCGAGCATTTTCATGGGCTAAAACCACTCGAGGGTCCTGCACCTAAAACAATAGGTATTTGCGGCTCCTGCGAGTTGAACTATAGCTTGATATTCTTCTTCCTCTTATTTCTCAAATGCAGATAACGGTCTTTGGCCCCACGTTGGGCGCCATTTTATTTATGTAGTAACCAAGAGGCAGGTGCTCACTAGATACTGTGGGTTTTCCAGTGTACAATCGGATCGGTATGTGTGCACTTCTTGCTATGCTCAGTTCAAAGCTCGTCGGATATGTCGTGGACCTTCCTCACCGATTATAAGTCACACCCTTTCACTACTGTAATAAAAGTTTAAGTGCACATTCTGTAAACTAAATGATTGGTCAACGGTTGAATTAATCGGACGTACGGACGGACCCTAAAGAGTAGGTATAAGAGAGGAACACTCGCGTTGTGGGTGGCTGAGGTGTCGTTCGCCCCCACGTCTTTACCCTCCCCTGCCGTGGTAAACTCCGATAATTAAGTGTTACCCCTTAACTAAGTTCATCTTTCCGATCTTAGCTCATTCTAAAGTAATTCGACATCCACTTGCTGTATTAACATAGACCAAAAATATACGTTTTTACTCCATTATTATTTCGTTAAACTTCAGGATAATTCATAATTCTGTCTCTTACAATTATTCATCATTTTCTTAACCTCTCTAGTCCCTAGCTATTTATCTCTACGTTAATTGAAATTTATATAAACAAACGCGTAAATGTGCGGCTCGCTTAGGATCCCGTTTAAATTATACATACGATCGATATATTTACAGAATAAATCGGCCTTTGTGCCGATTTACTTTCGATATATTGACTTACGCTCAGATCCTCCGCTGCTGGTTCGTTGGGCCCATCGAAGTTGCAGGTGCTGATGGCTGTTAGTTGGAAAGTTCAGAAACGATATTTAAATGGGACGCTCGCGTTCGCATTCACATATTACGCTAAACGGCAGAAAAGCAACAACAATATCAATTTCTTTCCATCTTACGTTACGCATTACTTTAAATTTTAATTGATCTCCGAACTTCTCTACATCCTCCGGGTTACTGGAATCATCCAGCGGGAGCGCGCTGCTCGCCGCGACGCGCCTCCAACTTCTTCGACAGGTCACATGCCTGCCGCTCAAGCGAGCTCTCTATCCGGCTGCGCCTGCTCCTGCCTAGTCTCCGCTCAGCTGCCTTAGCTGCACCTTCACTGTTCCTACTGGCTTATGCTCGAAAAGGTAATGCTTAGCCGCTGTCCATACAGCCGAATCGCCTTAGTTGGGGCTGCACGAGGCCGGTTACATTACTCCGAGAACTCAGACACAGGCCGCCTCTGGTCTGACTCTTGGAGATTTAGTGCGGTCGCACTCGGATCGCTATAGCTCCTTGGCAGCCGACGTGGCAAAGCAGAGGTACCCACAAAGTAGGGTTACGCGCACGTGCTGCGTTGGCCGCACGTCGACGTCTCTGCCGCTGTAGGGCCTCCGAAAAGTTAGGTTATGGCCGCTCGGTCGCACAGCGTTGGGCTGCACGTCGACGTCGCTGCCGCCGTAGGGCTTCCAAAGAGTAGGGTTATGGCCGCTCGGTTGCACCGCGTTGAGCTGCACGTCGATGATCGCCAACTTCTGCCGCGTGTGGCTGCCACGCCGGCGATACGCCCACGCCTAGCGAAGGACGTAAGAGCCGTCGCCTAGCGTCAAACTAGCCCTGCACAACAAAAGGGTTAACTAAACTATAGACTCTGCCGTTCCGTGGTAAATATTTACCCGTTCTCACTCGTGCACAACTCTTATTAAGTTTTGCCACTGGTCTCTTGCTGGCACTTTACTATTAATTCGAATGAAACTGTACAATCCACGTGCCGGAATTATTATAGTAAAAATGATCTACGATGCGTGTGCTTTGCTCTGGTTTTCAATTTCAAGTGAGCGAGCGTCACAAAATTTCTCTACACGCAGCGTGCCTTGCATAGCAAACGAGCCAAAAGCTACGGGACTTTTCCCAAATTCTCTCTCGCGCTCTCGATGCTCGCGAGCGAAGGACTGGAGGAAGGAAAAATAAGCAAAAAATCGTACGATTTCGCTGGCGCTGCGAATGCAGGTAGAAGAAAAACGGCATGTTCTGGAAGGCGCTACCCTACACTCTAGTCGCGGCATATGCGTTTCGATGGGTCGGTTCTATCATTTAAACTTACGGTTATACTTATTTATATTTTCCTATTTGTTTTCTCTGCCCTTACCCTCTGACCCCTACACAAGGTGGGCCTTGGACAAGCCCTTTGCGTGGGTTGTGGCGGCGACCCCTTTAACGGAACTAGCTTTATTGACGCCCTCCGTGTCTTTTTGCCTGACAAGGAAATCAAGGGAATTAAATTAATTGGGGAGATCGGGGGCACCGCGGAGGAGGAAGCGGCGGACTACCTACAGAAGAACAATACAGGCTATGAGGCCAAGCCGGTAGTGGGCTTCATCGCCGGCCAAACTGCACCCCCAGGACGTCGGATGGGCCACGCCGGCGCTATTATATCTGGCGGTAAGGGCGCTGCCAAAGACAAAGTGGAAGCCCTTCAGAAGGCTGGCGTCCGGATGACGACAAACCCTTGCCATCTGGGATCCACGCTGCTCGAAGAGATGATACGCCTAAAATTGGTCCCAAAGCCGGATGGAAAGGTTTCAGCGGGTAAAAAATAGGCAGGAGAGAAGTGTCAAATAACCAGTGACCAAGACCACCGCGAAGCAATTTCCATTAGTGTATTTGACCAATACATTAAAACATGAAATAAGCTCAGCAATTTTCCAATTAAATCGCTTACTTTTTCCCAATACTGCGCCGCCGACAAACTCATAAAATACCTCCCTAAAAGCCACAATATATAAAACGCTTGCTACGAAATAGAGGCAAAATTTACTAACCCTATAGGGCGAGAAGGATTCACTTTTGCATCGTTTTTGGCAAATCGGTATGCAGATGCGATAAGATAAATACTAGAATGAACACTTTCGTTTGATATGTTTAGTTGGATGTTAGTTAGCTCAGTTACCGAATGGAAAGCCACACATAATGTAGACGTCCTAGATTATTCACAAGGGAATTAATATTTAATCAAATAATGATTATTTTTACAAATATGAAAATCAATTAAATTTGTGAATTTTTCATATTACCTACAAAGATAATTATGAGATTTGAGTAAACAAATAAAATATTTAAAATAAAAATTCTTAAAAAAAAAAAAAATGTAATATTTTCTTTTTTTTTCTGCTCAAAATAAAACTCAACTGTAAATTACTGGTTCCGTGTAAGGCCTTTCGCCATTATTATTTCATATTCTTGTACTGCAAAGCTATCCTCCAACCAATTGTTTAGATCGCTCTTCCTCAGCTTCCGCGCTCCTGAGCGCTGGCCTCTGGTTTCGTAGCCAAATTTTAGGGTCGGCCGCTGCCGATCTCCTCTTGCTTTAGCGGGGTAAAGCGGGCTGGAGCGGTTATTATGCTTAAGCTGAAGTTAGTACGATGTATGCAGTCTGTGAGGAGTCGTCTGACTCCCCACCAATACTGGCGGCGGCACCAACAACAGCCCTAACACCGGCCATCCGCGCCAGCAACGACGGCGACAACAACGGCCACCAGGCCGGCCAGAACAACAGCGACGTCATCAACAGCGACGTAATCAACAGCGAGGCCAGCGGCCTCAACACCGGCCCGAGCAGCGGCCACAACAACAGCTCGCTCTCGCAGCCAACAACAACGACAGCCGCCAACGCCAGCAACGGCGTCATTAACGCCGGCCACAACAAACAGCCAGATCAGCGGCCAACAGCAGCGGCAATAGCAACGGCCAGCGCGACCAGCGAAAAACAATAGCTCGCGCCCGTAGCCAGCAACAACAACCGCAGCTACGTCATCAACAGCGACAGCGGCAGCGCGCATCAGCAGCTCTCAAAGCCAACAACAACGGCGGTCAGGAGCCGGCAGCGACCACAACAGCAGCCGACGGCAATAACAACAGCCGCCAACGCTCATGGAGAGCTATAGCCAACGGCAATAACAACTGCCGCCAACGCTCATGGAGAGCCGCCGCAGCTAGCCGCGAAATCAAAACAAACCGGCAAAACGCCCACAAATTATTCCCACTTTGTAATATAAGTTTTGTAAATAATTTTCTATAATAAGTAATCACTTCTCACTTTGTAACCATAAGCTTCGTATATTAATCTTTGTATATATATAGTCATTCCCTATTTCTTATAAAATAAGCGCTGTATATTTAATCAACCAAAACTTCGCAATACAGGTAGTTAATAGTTGTACAAAAATTAAGCATAGGCAAGAGTTTGTAGTTATCTTTGGTTCCCCGTTCTCTCATCTCTAGATCCCGCACACACACACACACACACCTACACTCGGAGAGCAGAGAGAGTTATTCACCACGAACAAGTGGCCACGGAGTTAGCGCCGTATGAGAGCAACGGAGAGCGAGCATACGATCGAGCGCAAAGCAACCCCCGAAAATTGGCACGCGCCAACGGGAGAGAGCGAGAGGGAAGCTGATGCACCGAAATGCAATAGCAATGGAAAATTACCAGCGCGGCCGAAAATTTGGCAAAGCCGCGTGGCTGGATTTACTTTTGCGGAGGCGACGAAAACGTATAGACGTGCGAGCGGTCGACGGAGTTTTCAACGAAGCCAAACGGGAGTGTTTCACGCGACGGAGTTTTCTGCGATCAATGAGTGTGAAAAACAGATATTGACAGTGACAATTTATACCCGAGACCAACCAGGAGGTGGTGCTCGAAGTGCCCAGTGATCGTGACGGCAGCCAGTGGAGTGCGAAGAAGTTTTCTCGACGGCCAAGGAGGCATTTTTTTCTTGTGGAAGCAGACGGAGGCGAGGACGTGGCGGAAGCAGCAGCCACAGGCGAACGTTGTGTGTGTGCGGAAAACGGAGACGGGTGAGTGCATAGGGAGAATCGCATTCTGGCCAGCGAGTACATGTGTAAATAGAAATTTCTCGGCGGCCAAGATGCGGTTTTCACTAGAGTAGGCTAGGAAATAAACCCCAAAAACTTAACCTCAAGTCCCTGCAAAGAAAACTTGTCCAACTAAATAATGAAAACTAGAATTTTATTTAAATACAAATGAAAACTAAAGAAATTTATTTAAATACAAACGAAAGTAAAAAATTTATTAAATAAAGATGGCAAAACTGAAACTAATCAAATAAAACTTGGACATATATATATGAAATAAAACTCCCCTCGCTGTCGCTATATCATTTTCCCTGACCTACGCCAAGCTCTTTGTCAAACGAGACATGCATAGAAAAAGGGGTGGACCCAAACTTTTGCTAAAACCTCACTAAAATTTACAAAATAAAATATTTCGCTCCTCGCCGTTTCTCCTCATAGTAAAATCAGTTGGGAATTTAATAAGGAAATATTTTATGACAAAGTCAAAGTACGGCGAAAAGGGTGGACCTTATCTTCGCGGAAAATGTATTCCGGCAAATTAAATTAAATATTTCTCCGGATATTTAGCGCTGTGTGATGGCCATGCGTTTGCGGTGAGGGAAATTTCCGGCATCGTTTTGCGGAGAACGGCTGAGTTTTCGCCTACACTGGGAGAAATGAAACTCCAAACTTTAATTATAAAAATTAAAGTAAATTTTATTTAAGTATATTTTTGCTTTCTCGTGGAGAGCATAACTCCTGACCACACTTCCGAGAGGCCGTACGCTGCCCACACTGGGAAAATAAATGCAGAGAAATTTAAAAATGAGGAAAGATTAAATAAATTCAAGAAAAGCTCTCTTAAGTATAATTTTCGGCTCAAATCGAGTCCAGCTCGCGAGGGAACGACCCACAATCACGCTGGCCATGACTCACGTAGAATATTTTCCCAAAATGCCTAGATTTTAGGCCATAAACTCTGCCCTAGGAAGCGGTGATCCCCACAAGCGACCCCTCTCTCGGTCTTCCCATAGCGTCTGCTATGGGCCCGACCCAAAGCGCGATCTGACCGATTATTTCGCTCTATTGCAGAGACCGGACAAGTCATTTCTCTGGCTTCGTATCCCGGTAACTGACAACCACCATCTCACGTCAGTTTACCGCGCGTCAAAACACTTTGTCCCATATCTTTATAAATTTTTCTGATAAAGAGGACCTTGGACGTGACTGAGACCTACCCCAGCCGTCGAACTTCCTTACAGAATGGCGCCCGAACAGGGACATGGGGTTTACGAACTTTAGACGTCGATACGTAAGGTTCGTCGGATACGTAAGGTTCGAAAAATTCCGCCACTTAGAGAAAATTTTTTAAGTCGGAACGTATGGAGAGTCGGATGTCGAGGGACACCGGAATTTCTAGGGCAGAAAACTACAGAAAATATATATATCTTGATCAGAATATATACAGAGCATTGTATATAACCTCAAAGTTGAAAAAAAAAAACTTTGAAATTTTTCAAGGCACATGGCAAAAATCGGGAGAACTTAACCAAAAAGTATACCCACTCTAATGAACTCGTGGCACACGCAGCGAAAATTTTATGTCTCAGCCGCGAAAAGATCATAACCTAAAACGAGAGGTTATCAGATCACGTGACCAAGAAAAAAAACCCACACGTGAGGAAACACACGTGAGCCAAGAAAACGAAACGAGCAGAGAAAGGAAAAAAAGAGAGAGAGAGCGAAAAGCCCTCTAGGTAGCCAAGTCAGGTCGCGAGAATTTCAAAAGCACAAGGCAGGGAAAAGCTAATACAAATTCCCCACAGCGCAGCCATTTTGTTTTCACCCTTCACTCTCATCGTCGTCTCCCTCACACCAGCGGCGATCGAGTACAGCCAGCAGCAAACGCATCGGTGGGTCTCTTCTCTTTTCAACCGTCGTCGAGGCAACACGTACAGTCGCAGTTTTTCAACGGAAATCAAAAGTCAACGTCGTACAAAATTTTACCAAGTCTCGATCATCGTCGAATACAATTAAAAGCATCGTGGAATAACCTTTGAATCACCGGCGAATAAAAATTACATCGCCGTCGAATAATTTAAATCATCGTCGTGGAAATTTTTACGAGCTTGCATCGCCGTCGAAGAAATTTAATCCCCATCGAGGAGAGCTGCAGAATTAAGTCGCCGTTTTACATCGAATTCGGATTTAACCTAGTTGCACGTGGGCATTTAGTGATTTTTCTTTTTGTGTGTGGCAAATAAAAATCAAATATTTCTCTGAATCAACTTTAATCAACTCAAACATCGCTGACCCTCGCCTGAAATATTCTCTCGACCCATCGAAATTTTTCTTGTTGTTTGCCAGTTGATTAATTATTTCACAGCATTATGGGCGCACGCTGGATTTCATATCTGCGGAAGCGGGAATTGGAGGTGATTTTGAAGGAGTTTTCCTTGGAAGCAACCGGAACCGTGGAGGAAATGCGGAGCCGACTGGCTGCCTTCAACAATCGAGATGATCACGTGCTGGAAGTCACCAAACGACTACAGGAATGTGAGGCGGAAATCAACGCCACTCTAACGGAGAGGAAACAGCGATCGCCGAGTCCACACCCACACCCACCGGGTCCCGCGCAACTGCAAGTACCAGCACTGGAGGGCAAGTACCAGCACTGGAGGGCAGAGCTACCGCCGACGTGGAGACCCTCCCGGCCAGGCGAGATATTCTTCCGAAGAAGGCGGAGATTTCAGCAGC